GCCGGTCCCTGGGGCCTGGGCCGACCCGGTCGTCCCATTTCACAGGTCCGGCCCGCGGGCGGGACGGCAGGGGCTGGGTTAGACCCGAACCTGGGCCAGGCTAATTTTGCAGGTGTTCGGCTGTGTGTGATGGGAAAAGGAAACCTCTGAGTCACCCTAGAAAGGTGCCTAGAGGTAAACGAATCCGTTTAAGAGGATTGTTCAATTAGGAAGAAAAGAAGGAGAGGTTGGAGGGGAGCGGGGGAGATCCCCCGGGACCTTCGTTCCTTCTGTAGCTCTGACTCTGGGCCCTGAGCGGGTTGAGTGCCGCCCCTGGCTCTAGGGACGGGGAGACTGAGGCCCCGACCATCCCTGGGGGGCGGGGGGTGCTGGTAGCGCCCCTGCCTGTCCGCCTGCCGCCTGCTTTCCCACATGCTGATGCTGGGAGCCGCCAGTGAAACAGAAAGCCATTCCCTTCCAGGCAAGCAGTGACGTCAGCCTGGCAAGAGAGTTAGAAAGAGCCGAGTTTTTCCCGGTGCGGGGTCTAGGCGTCCCGGGAGCACCTGCCCACCCGCACCGGAGCGGAGGAGGCTGCCGGCTGCGTGCACCGCGCTCCTCCCCGGCGCGCACCACCGATGCCCTGCAGGCGGCGGAAAGCCACCTGGGCTTTACCCTTCATCGTTACTCTCTGCCACCCGCTCCCCTACCTATTAGGACTCGGTGATTGGAGGCGTTCAGGGAAGTGTCACCGAGGGCACTTCTGTTTTAACTGCTTTACAGTTTTATTTGGAAGGAAATGGGCAGGTGCACTCATTTCTGTGAGCTCTCCAGTGTGTGGGTCCAAAGGGAACTAATGGGAATACTGAAAGAAAGAACGGAGCTCCTATCAAAAAGTAGCCCGGGGTGGGAGGAAAAGGTGGGTGAACTCTCCAGTTTGCACATCTGGTTGAATATTAGACTACCCTGTGAAATTCAGGGAGGCTGCCACTCTCCACTTTTTTTAAATGTTGGAAATAGCAGCAAGAGCAGCGCAGGGGCTTTCGATAAGTCACTGAACTATTTTTTCCGGAGTTGCTGTTGGCACAGGAATTCCTTGGTAGGAGGGTTTTAGAGGGGTGACTGGTTTGAAGGACTGGGGGTAGTTTGGGTGAGATTCACGCTATATTTGCAGAACAAACAGTTTTCAGATTGTGTATTGGTAGCAAATATTTGATAGCCATGATGGAAGACCAACGCCACTCCTTGACTTTGGCACTGGCTAATGTAACTTTTTACCTGATGGAACTCTCTGGAACTTAAGAATACCAATAATTAGATCCAATTATATCATTGTATAATTTTAAGTGTTGTTGTTTTTTTTTAAAAAAAGCCATAGATTTCTTGGACTCCTTCCTTAATAGGAGATATATTATCTTCTGTAATGTTACATTTGCCAACCTCTTTAAAACTGAGAGTGGGTTGGACAGCAGTCTCAGGTGACTTTATGGGATTGGGAGTGGTCACTGTTGGTTTCTAAACCCGAAGGGATGCCATGTGGACCGACTTTTAAGTTTCCTGGAGAAAAATAGGGAAGTTTTTAAATTACTTTTTGGATATGGTAGTTTGGTCTCTAGAATATAGAAATTACCCGTGAAAGTGTTGTTGCAAGTTGGTTATCCTAAAGAAAAATCATAATCTCAGCTGGCTCTGTCTTCCTGGAAAAGTATTTAAGGCAACATGGTTTATAATTCAGCAAACTGACCCCCTCCCTTCTCGTTGAGCCCAAGGATAAGGCAGTCCCTGTCCTCATTGTAGAGGTTAGTACCTCTCAGATGCCTAAGGAATGCAGGGGGTGAAAACTTAACCCCGTCTTGGAGGAGAGTCAGGAAAGGTGGAGCATACCACCAGTTTTTTTGTGGGAATAAAATCTTGGTGTAAAAACGTGTACTGTACCATTCTGGTGAGTGGTGTTGACAGTAGGGGAGGCTATGCATGTGTGGGAGCAGGGAGTATATGGGAAATCTCTACCTTCTCAATTTTATTGTAAATCTAAAACTGCTCTTAAAAATTAAGTTTCTTTAAAAGTGTACTTCATATAATTAACCAAAAAAGTAATAACTTTTTCTAATTTATTTTGCAGAAAATGAAAAGGGACAATATATATCTCCATTTCATGATATTCCAATTTATGCAGATAAGGTAAGGTGTTC